TTAGAGCATGGGATCCAGATGAAACTTATAGAGGTATAATATTGGACTCAAATGATGAGCTTTTATCGAAAGATTTTTCCAATAGGAGTTTGCGAAAAAAATTAGCATTTTCCTGAGCCCCCTCAAGAGTTTTCTTTTTCTATTTGTAGTATTCTATATTATAGAATTTAATAGTAAGCTACATCAAAATTTATCGATAGATTTCAATTTTCATCTAAAAATATCCATCCGTTCAGAAGTTATAACGTTTTGAATTTTTGTTACATACTGCTAAAATTTTAGCGAACATTCAAAAAGTTATAACTCCTGAGCGGATGGATATTTTTAGATGAAATTTGAAATCTATCGATGAATTTTGATGTAGCTTACTATTAAATTCTAAAATATAGAATACTACAAATAGGAAAAGAAAAATATTGAGGGGCTCAGGAAAATGCTAATTTTTTTCGCAAACTCCTATTGCAAAAATCTTTCGATAAAAACTCATTATTTGAGTCCAATATCATACCTCTATAAGTTTCATCTGGATCCCATGCTCTAAAGATGAAATTCAGCATAGTAAAAAATCCTGGATCTGCCACTAATTCTATCTATGCTTAATGTTGTTTGTAACTAATATCTCTTTTTTCTCTTTTATCATTTTTGTCAATAGATAGATTTTCATTTTTATTTATTTTTTATTAAAAGTATCCAATGTATGTGTTGAATTTATTAAAATAATAAATCAAGATATTTCTACATTTTTCTATAATTATAATATTAGTCTATTAAAAATTGTATCTTTTGCCTAATACAAACACAACTCAACAAAATTTGATTATAAGCATCAATACAAAATTGATCAATCTCATGTTATTGAGTTTAGAATAAAAACACTTTTTTTTTCTCTCTTTTGACAGAAAAAAAAAAACAAATATTTTTGACGCTTCTCTGAATTATCATTACCTTCAAGGATTAATATTCATCTTTTTATTGATAAATCAAATTTGACATATTTTTAACGTCTCATAAATAGAAGATTTCATATCTACTGTAGTATTGAAGCGAAACGACATTTCCATTATCTAATCAAGTACCGAACATTGTTTTTTCTTTTATTATTATTATTAATGCTGAAATATTCCTTTCTGAATCAGAAATCTATGATGCCCTTTTAGTTCTTTCATATAAAGACTAATGAACTCATTATCATTGCTTTCAAATCAAAGTTTATCGTGCCCTATTTGTAGACAAAATATGAGACTAGAAGATTCAAATTGAGATATATTTTTATATAACACGATATAAAATAAATGATAAATTACAGTGATAAAAATTTCAAATCACATCTCATAAATCTTGACAAACATTATTGATATATGATGTTTAATCATATATCAATAATATCTTGTTCTAATATATGAAGTACTCTCTTTTTGAATATTTAGTTTAAGTTAAATAAAAGAATGAATGAAAAACTATTTGTTACAAAATAGATTGAATCAAATCTTTTTCGTATAATAATTAATAATCGTAATTGCATCGTATTATTTTGTTTAACTTAAATTTAGATTCAAATTTTTTATTTTCTGTAGGTAATAAAACACATTAATTAATTTCTTGAGATTGTTAGTCATACAGAAGCAACGATTCGTTACAACTAACTCATTTGTAAAATGTATGACTGTAAACAAATTGATAATGATGACACATTTTATGCATCAGTGACATTTGTGTTATCTTATTTTTTTTCTATATTACTTTTACATATTTTTTATTTGAATATTTGTTGACACATAGAAGTTTTCATTTGCCAATAGAAATCTTACTAGCTATTCTTATTTTATATAATTATTAACAAAGTGTTAATTGATTTATTAAATAAATATTCACTAACGATGGTGTTTTGCTTGATGAATATGATTAGAAAAAAAAGAAATTTTAATAAAAAGGAAAATATTGATATCGATATAGAAGAAGGTGATAACATGAAATAACTTTCATTCGATATAAATATCGGGAACAGCACTTCTGAATTTGATAGACATTAAAGATGTTATTGTTCTATATGAATTTGCTGTTATCTATGTCAAATATATATATATATACAGAGTTGGAAAAAATATTTTGATAGGGCGGTATCGCTATATTCTGAAATAGAGTTAATAATGAATTTTATACCAAATGAAAGCCCGTCAAAAATGAGGTTTATTGGTACTAAATAGTACCTTTTAATGTCGAACTTAAGAAATTTTATGCTTTTTTGGCATAGAAAAATTGAGGTACCAATAATTCAAAAACAGATTAAAATATTTTTTACATGATTCGATAGAGCTCGTCTAGCTCTACAAAATTGTATATATTAAAAACTTCTTACGCCATTTTTCTGAGATAAAAGTTTAAAAAGATTACGTGGAAAATGCTAAAAAATGTCAAAAAACTCATTTTTTTTTATGGAAGAAAAACACTTCATTTTTCAATAAAATTAGCTTTTTTCATTATTTTTACTGTCATAGACGCTTCGAAATATACTCGTTAGACGCAGTATTTTACGCTGCATTTGATAAGCATATTTTGAAGCGTCTATGACAGTAAAAATAATGAAAAAAGCTAATTGTATTAAAAAATCAAGTGTTTTTCTTCCATAAAAAAAAAAAGTTTTTTGACATTTTTTAGCATTTTCCACGTAGTCTTTTTAAACTTTTATTTCAGAAAAATGGCTTAAGAACTTTTTAATATATACAATTTTGTAGAGCTAGACGAGCTCTATCAAATCATGTAAAAAATATTTTAATCTGTTTTTGAATTATTGATGCCTCAATTTTTCTATGCCAAAAAAGCATAAAATTTCTTAAGTTCGACATTAAAAGGTACTATTTAGTACCAATAAACCTCATTTTTGACGAGCTTTCATTTGGTATAAAATTCATTATTAACTCTATTTCAGAATATAGCGATACCGCCCTATCAAAATATTTTTTCCAACTCTGTAGTATCATGAGATTTTTTCACATAAAATTTTTTTTGAAAAATACTAAACGAATCTTTTTTAGTTTATCTACGAGTAATATAATATATCAACCGTTGTATGTTTTATTAGAAGTAGTATATCATTCATTTTCTTTTTTGTAAACTATTATTAATGAGTGATTGGCTTAATAGTAAACTGACTCTTTCATTTTTCAAATGATCATTATATGAGTCAGAATGGACTAGGAAAACCTATTTACACTCGAAATAAAATACAATCATAGGAGAAAATACCAACAACATTACAAGAGAAAAGAACGATTGAAAAATACCGTAAAACGAAGAATAGGAGAGCAAAAGTTATAAATGAGTATTCTTTTTTTTTTTTTTACAGAATCTGTTTAATGTCATGATGTTTTTATTAGTTCATATGACAAAACTATTTTTCTAATGATACAAAAATTTATTTTAAGAAAAAGAAAATAAAAGTGACTATTAATACACATATGATTCATTTAATAAATAAATGAATTTTTATATAAGTAAACTTAATAAGTTAATTCGAACATTGTAAAACAAAATTATTAATTTATTTCAATAATCATATTTTCTTTACTCAATAACTTTGTACAATAATATCAATAAGATTATATAACAACAATGCAAAAAAAAAACAAATAATTCTATTTTTATTTTAAAGGCTTTCTAATGTAATCATAAGAGTATTCTTGAAAAATTATTCTTTAAATAAAAATTCGATCAAATAAATACTATATGACACATGTATATAAAGAATTATTTGTAGTGCTTATGAAAAAAAAAAAACACGTATATAATATACATATGACAGTAGGTTTGTTTTGAAACGAGTATATCATACATATGAATGATTTTCATTTTCATGATATTTGTCTTTCAATCGTATATTGTCATATACTATATGATCAAATGCAACAAAAATTATATACTAATAAGATATAATGTTATTTTTATCTTTTCATAATCGATATTACATGACGTTATATTATTCTTTGAAAGTAGTAAAGCATTATTTGATATATCTGTTTTTTTTCATCTAAATATTTTATCATTTTTGACATATTTGGCAAATAGTATGTTGGAAAAAAAATCGAGTACTATGCGACGTTATGTTTCTTTCAGAATAAATTTCTAAATACTGAATCATATAGACCCAAAAATAACAGGTGGTATATAGTAAAAAAAGAAAAAAGTATATTTGACTTGGAAAAAACCTGTAGAAACGAAAATAAAAAAAAAAACAACAACAATATTCATTTTGACAGAAATGATTATTTTTGTTTTTGTGTGATTGATTGAAATATTATTGTTCATGATATTACTGATCTATGCATGATTTTTCTATTGCAATCTTAACCTTGACAAAAGCAAAGGTTTTCTATCATAGATATGATTCGCATTTTGTTTAGTTTGATTGTTGATATTGATATTGATTGTTGTTAAATTTTTGCAATTAAATGATTGTACTCTATGACTCATACAGGTCGAAATAGAAGAAAAGAAAAAAAAACTAATGCAAGTTGACAGGATTAAAACTACAACCACTATTCGGGACTGACCCAGACATGACGTCAATGGCATTTTATTTATAAAACAGAACATAACATACATTTTATTTTCTTTTGAATGACGACATTTAGTTTTTTTTTTTTTTTTTGTATTTATTGCTTAACAGCTAGAAAAACTATTTATCATAATAAGTATGTCAATCTGCGTATTTTTTTTTTTCTTTTGATACAAAATTTATTCAAAAGAAACATGATTAGGTATAAATCGATCGACAAAAAATCATGTAAAAAATATTCAATATATCTTGGAAAATTGTATGTAAAGAGGACTATTGCGAAAGAAAAAGAAATATGACGATATACCTGGTCCGTGTATTATTTTTTTTTTCTTTCTTGTTCTTGTATTAAAAGGAAAAAAGAACAGGACAGGAAAGTATTTAAAGCAGTGCAAGTAAATGATAATACTACACATATATTTCCAACTAGTGTTCTAAAGTTGTCAAAATGAGCAGTCCTCTCTTTGTTTCTCAACCATCTTGCGATTTAAGTATTTATTTACCAATTGAATTAGATTTTGAAGATATAATAGTTTATCAATCACCTGAAGTGTTGATGCGTTCAATTAATATGGATACATCATCGGCCCATCGATCGGAATTCGAATTATTTGATCCAATCAATGATGATATGGAAGCTGTATCAACGTTAACAGATAGTGATATAACGGTTCCATGTGATAATATCTTGGAGATAATTGATATAGATCAATATTTTTTTGGACAATGTACAGTCGCATCTCATATACCAATTGTAGAAAATCAAGAAAAATTACAAGATACTACACCATTATGTGTATCATCAAAACGTTCGTATAAAAGTCAAAAAAGCAAGTTATTATCATCTGATTCATGTCAATCATCAAAGTTCATAAATATAAAAAAATTTCTTATATTGGATGAAACAACAGGACGATTACGTCGACCATTATTATATGAATTTATTCGATTAATATTAGAAAAAGATGAATATTCACATATAGCTGAATATATTGATCGTAAACGAGGTATTTTTAAATTTCATCAACCAGATCAAGTTGCTGAATTATGGAAACAAGTAAAAGGACGTAATAGTGATAATGGTAAGTTGATTCGTTTTTTTTTGTAAATGAAAATTTAAGTAATTAAATAGTTTCTTTTTTTTTTTTTATTTTAATTAGATATGACCTATGATAAACTAGCAAGAGCTTTACGTTATTATTATGGTAATGGTATAATGCATGCTAGTCCAGGACGTTTTACATTTCGATTTGGACCAAAATCTGGTTTTGGTACATCATGGTGGCCAGCTTATTAATAAACATCAATTTCTTGTCTTTTTTGTTTTTTTTTACTCCGGATGTTATTTCTTTTTAAATTTTTATTTGTTTTTAACAAGTCCGATATCTTGATTTTTCGCTAAAAATTGATTATTATTGAAAATTGTTTTATTTGTTTATATTTGTGGGTTTTTATCTTATATTAGATGTAATATTAAATTTAATATAAATGTGAATTATATATTCTATTAGAAAAACAAATAAGTCTATACTTGATTTAAACATAATCTTTTTAATTTGTTAAAAAAAAAGAGAATATGAATTCATAGTAAGACAGTATATAAATTGTTTAATTTGAATAGAAAAAAAAAAAACAAAAAACAAAAGTAATATTTTGATTAATGTATAGATTTCACTCAAGTAATACCTGTCAATTTCATATGTCATTGAGACATATTAAAAAAAAACAAACGTTGACTAAGGTTTTACCTATTTTGTTTTTCTTTTACTATTATGAAACGTTCGAAAAGTACACAACTTGTATTTTACAAAACTCAAGGACAGACAATAATGATTAGAGTGTCAAAATAAATTTGATGTCAAGGTTTAAATATGCAAATAAATGTTATGCTATTCAAAACATGATACGCTGTTGTTTACAACATCATTTAAAATATTCGAAAACAAAAAAATAGAAATATATGATTTATTAGCATATATGATGTTAATAGTTTTTCATCACTTATTTAAATATTCAATGTTATAAAAATAAATTCAATCGATATTAAATTATAATTCAAATTTTTTACAATTGATTGAATTTTGATTAGTATTTATTAGAAAATAATGTTCTATGTTTCTTTTCTTGTATAAATGTCAAATCAAATTCGGCGATTTTTTCTATATGAATATCAAATAGATATCAATAAAAAAATTCGCCGAAAATCTATATTATATATTTATTGATATAACAATCATTCGAAAAAAAAAACAAATTTGCACATTCATTTTTTTTCTTTTTGGTGAACTTTAAACTTAAGGTTTGATATAGAAACATAAGTGATCAGAAAAACAAAGACAAGGACATGTTGTTTTTTTTTCTTTCCAGGTGATATTTAGATAATATTGCGTAGAAAAGAAATAAAATCTTTCAGCGAAAATAGATTTATGTCTATGAATAAAATTCATTCGTTGAAAATCTATTTTTACGGTATATTAAAAACCATAGAGTTAAACACTTATCTTATCGCTTAAAGTTTCATTTTATTTTTTTCTTCATGTCATGCGTGTAAAAAAAAAAAAAAAAAAAACAATAAGCTCTCTCAGTATGCAATATAAAATTTAAAAAAATATATATTTGACAAGTATTATAGTGTTGTCCATCTTATGATAATCAGCGATTTATTGCACATGTTTTGATTAATTTTTTGTTATATTTTAGTCTATAACTCTACCAAAAAAATAAACTGAGCATACATAAGTCATCTGCATCAACCACATCATCTATTTTCGTATAACTTTCAAGTTTGATTATTTATTACAGGTGCTTGAGATAAGTCATAAATAGTTTATATATTCATAATCACTGTCAACAACATGAATTAGGGTGACCTTGCTGCTAGAGAACGTAACACATGTTTATCTTAATCATTACAGATAGGTACATAAAAATATTGATTAGTTAGATGACTTGACCAATAAAAGAAAAACAGGTTGGGGTCGTCTAACTTGATAGATATGTTGTTGTGGTAAATTAACAATGTAGAATCTTTGAGGCTAAAAGTATGTTACTCATATGTATTCTTTAATTGCATTATTCTAATATAAAATAAGTCAAGGTTAAACAAGAATAATTAATTGCAAGCGAATTGAGACTACTTTATTTATTTATTTTTTGCTGCTGGTATCGTTATTGTGTATATCTATAAACTTTTCACTTAATATTTGCTACTGAATTTGAATAAATTTCAATATCTTTAGAAAACTTTTTTGAGTTGTAACATTTTGTTTTTTAATATAGTTTGACATGCATCCGACATGTCTGAAACATCAATACAACATGCAAATGTCTCCTAACCTAAATCCAATTTGCTTTCTAATGTTTCATTGATCACAACTGGTGAAACACTTCTTCTGTAACTAGCTCGCATCTACTTAGAATGCAAGATATATTAATGACAAATATCATTCGAGAACTGGGTGAATAACTGCATGTAAAAACTATTTTTGCAATGACATTTAGTTGTTTTTTTTTGTATTCATTTTGCTTATATAATGAAAATTTTTATTAATGCACTCTTGAAGGGTATACATGTATGTATCAGAATCTAGATTTTAGCTGATAGTGATAGTCTTCTGGTTATCAACATCCAAAATATGAATGTTTCAACTAATCTATTCCGGCAACTTATTACTGCTATTTTTATTTTATTTTATCTTCAAGATTTTTCTTTTTCAATATATTTTTTTTAGTCTTCTGCATTTTCTCATGATATCTTTTATTCTATAAGATGTTTGTTTATTATCACAAAGAATTATTATATCCATGTTTATTTTTCAAGATAATGGATATAAATCATCATTAATTATGAAATAAGAAGTAAACAGTATCAATGACTACATTGTACCATATTACCTGTAAATATAGGCATAGTACTTTAGTCTATTAATATGGTTTAAAGATAATTTGAGTATTATATTTAAAACCTACTTGTAGATAATGTATCAAGGGTTCGAATGAGATTGGAAAATTCCATTATGATGAAAAGAGATAGGATGGGGAAATTTCATTTGATGAGAGATGATTGGATGAGACAATTCTATCATCACATGACAAGCTATAGAATGGGGAAATCCTTATCACTTGAAAAGATAGGGGATGGTAAAATTCCATCTCATAGAAGATAATGATGTTAGATTTCTTTGTCTTTTATTTTGAAAAAAAACATGAATACAAACCGAAACTTTCCCACAAAAAGAAAAACAAACCAAACACCCAAAAATAGAAAACAATAACCTTTGTGTATTTGATTAGAGAGAAAAGGATGGTCAATAAATATATAGATGGTAATCCTAACAGATGGATAAAACAGTTCCATTCTATGAAAAGAAATAGGATTAAGAAATCTCATCCTATATAAAAAAGGAATGGAAGTAAATTCTCGTCGAATGAAATTTCATTTTCTTTTTTTTATTATAAAATAAATGGGAGCTTTTTTTTCTGAAACATTATAGACTTTCGGTACACTGTATAGATATGATTGGTAATAGGACTTGTTATGCATTTGTAAGTTTAACCGAAATAATCTTATACAAGGAATATTTATGTTCATGGTGTGATTTTAATTCATCTGGTGTTTTGCTTTTGTTTTTTTCTTTTGAATGACTACTTGGTCGATATTAGGGATTAAACAACATGAAAAACCCTGATTCGACAAAAGCAGTATGTATTTCATGGTGTATTGGAGTAATACAAAAAGAAACGAATAAATTATATAAATATAGAAAATATTTTATGCATATTAAAGATTATTTCAACTTCTATAATTTGCTAACCTATTGTGAAATACTCAAAACTTATATTATTTCACTTGTTGATGATAAACAATATGTAAAAAGTTTCACTGTTTTTCATTTTTTTTCAAAATAATCGATCTTGTCAGTCTGATATTTGAGAGATATAACGATGAAAGAAAATATTACTTTTTACTAATCAATGACTTTTAAGGTTTGCTACAAAACGTACGTTTTTTTATGTTGTAAAATTCTATACATTTCTCAGTTGTTCTAGTCAATTAATAAGAACCCTAATAATCACAAGATTCACTAGAGTCCACAACAATCTAAAGAAATACATCAAAGTGTATTAGAGTACGAAAGGATCTTCCGGAACTTTTATTAATATAAAAAAAAACAAATTAAGTAAATTCATCAAAAGTTAACAGTTCATGAATGAAAAATGTACTGAAAAAAGTAGTATTCATACGTTCTTACAGATCTCAATGAATCACGACGAATTTCCTATCGTAGTTCAAAAAGATTGTAAAATTCAGATAATATATTGCAATAAATCCAAAAACTTTCAAAACCTACTGAATTATTTTTTTCAATTCTAATTGTTTCACTCTACTTAAATTTCGTAATAAAACTTTTTAAATTATTAGATAGAACATGTCTCAAAGTATTATTTATCATCATTTAAATCAATGAACGGATGACTTTCGCTTTTTCATTTAATGCTAAAACTGATTAATTTATTCTTCTATCGACATTTTCATGTAAATTTTTTCTCATTTTTATTGATCTTTGTCATGCTAGACAAAAATTTTGTTTTTTATTGTTTTAGTTACTTAAATTTCGATAGATATGTATACAAAAAATGAATCGTAAGAGTTTAAAATGTCGTCGAACAGTAGAAAGAAAGAAAAATAAAAAAACCATAATTTCACTAAAAGTATTTTTATTTGTCAACAGAAAAAAGAGAAGAAAAAAATCTTTTAAATTAACAATACTTCTTTATGATTTAAAATGTTAAAATAGACCGAAGGCAAACATAATGCTGTTTCATTTTTATGATAGAAATGAAAAGAAAAAAATTCAAGTGAAATCCTATGTTGGATAAACTTCAAACGATTTATTTTTTTGTCAATACATTTGCACAAGCTCTGTCATTTATAAAAAGCAAACAGATTTTCTTTTTGTTAAATAGAAAACAGAGAATTTTATTTTGTGTATCTGTACAATAATTCAAATAAAATCTATTACTATTAAAACATAATCATGACTCTAACGGCTGCTCAAATGGGTCTTTGTTTTCAATCATATTGGTACATGTGGTATGTATAAAATAATTGAGTATATTTATATAGTTCAAATATTTGAATCATTTCTCAGGTTAACCAATGGTCTATCAGGTTTACTTTTTATGGGTATTGATATTGGTAAAAATGAATTTTGTATTATTCTTTTTTCAAAATTGAAAATAATAATTGAATTGAATAGGTATTGCTGCATTTTTTTTGACAAAACTTAAGAAAAATCCATCGAAATATCAACGTCCACCAACTGTTGATAATCGACCAATTAGTCCAACTGATATTAATACTGTTGAAGATACTGAAAGAAAGACGACTAGTAGAAGATCTGCAATACGTGGTTCTTCAGCTAAATTAGGTATGAAATAATTAATTGTATGAAATTAATTCTATTATTTCTATAGATAATTCCAATTCAATGGAAATAAGCGATGATTTTTCTCATGCAACATGTGAAATAATAAATCTATTTCGTCAACAATATGATGCTCCACCACTAGAATTAGATGATAAATTAACTGATATTGCACAAGATTGGGCTAATCAAATGGCTGAAACTGGTAAATTAGAACATAGACCACTTGAATATCGTAATTTTGGAAGACAATCACTTGGTGAAAATTTTATGGCACAATTTCAAACTGAATTAACAGGTTAATATTTTGTTTTGATTGAAAAAAAAATAATATGTATATATTAAAATGTTATGTTTTGATTTCTTTTTTAGCTAATAAAATGGTACGAAAATGGATGAAAGAAGGACGTAAATATAGATTTGGTTATGATGGACGTAGAGATACAGATAATTTTACACAATTAGTTTGGCAAGGATCTCGACAAATTGGTGTTGGACGAGCTCAATCTGCTGATGGAAATTGGTGGTATGGTGTTGTCGTCTTTGATCCACCTGGTAATATTCCAAATCAATATGCTGAAAATGTAAAATTTCCAGGTCCATAAAATTTCATTGAGAAATCAAAAATAAACTTTTTCCATCTTTATTCATATGAAAGAGGAACAAAATTATGATTTTACTACTGTTGAAATTGTAATTCATTTCAAACATCGATTAATAAATATCGCTTATTTACATTTCAAAAAATAAAAATAATATATAGAACGAATATTGATGTTGACATGATTCTTCTAACGGCGTATTTTCTTCGGAAAATGATGCATAATAGAGTAATGCTCTACTCTAAATATTCATGAATGTTGTCTTGTGATACTGAATGTTTCTTGAATTGTGCTATATCGATTGAAGGTATTGTAGTGGTTTATGTAAAATACTTACAAGCCTATATTACATGGTAAGAATAAGATTTAAAAAAAAAAAAACAGAAAGATTATGTAATTTTTTCCATTAATTACACAAAAAAAAAGTCATATAGACATTGTTAAACTCGTAACTGTCTGTAGTATCTTAGTAATTTATATTAAAATAAATGTGGAAACCTCGGATTTAAATCCGAGAGTTTTGTGTACTTCAAAAAGTGAATGAGACAGATGAGTCACCCTAGAATGTGTGGATCAGCGTTTTTAATAGGATTTCGAAGCACAGTGTACGCATACACTTTGCTAAGCCAAAGATTTTATTTTCAGAGTGTACTTCATAGGAAAACAAAGTGTATTCTAAAAAAACAGAGTGTACGTACACTTTGCTCTGCTGGTGTACACTAATCATTAAAAACACTGGTGTGGATATCAAAATTGTCCTGGCAAACCCTTTCTGTAAACACTTAATTTCTATTGGCTATTGCTCAGCCAATACGATTTGGAGGCAAATACAGCTCAGATTTGAACTCTTCACCGTGATTTACCCTAAGAAACTCATTTTTCCTATAACTTGATTTCTATTGGTCACTGCTCAACCAATGGGATTTCGAAGCGAATGGAACATAGATTCGAGTTCTCCATTCTAGAAAACCTCAAACTATCATCTCTGTGATGGGAAGATAGAGCTCTAATTGTGGATCATATAGAGCGTGGACAAAAACAGAACCGAATTCCGATTAATTATCTTTGCAATAGGCGAGTTAGCTTTCTTGTTTCTTTATGTTTTATACACCATTTTGTAGCTCGTGAAATTCTCTATCGAATGGTATATAATAGTTGGGGGTTTATATGACTATGATAGGAAAAGTTTTTTATGAAAGCAGAGAAGGGTCTATCTTCTCATAGGGAAAAATGACTATTTTTGCAATAACTCAGCAATGGTTCGACCAATCATTCTCATCTTCGAACTCGACCGAGATATTGTTAAGACTAAACTGTGTAGAAAATTTCATCGCGATCGGACTCTCCTTTCAAAAGTTATCGTGTTGACGGCCGGACGGACACACTGACCGATTCTAGAGTGTACTCACTTTTTGAGTACACAAAAAAAGAGATACGTTCAATTGAAATTTTATTTTCGTACGTGAAATAAATAAAAAACTAATAAAATTTGTAAATATTCGAGAAATAAAATCTAATGATTTTATTTTAGAAGAGATTTGAACATAACTGTTAACATTAAATGATGATCAATAAATTGATAATAAATGTCAATATTTATATGAATATCAACTATAAAAAAAGATAAATCAATCAATATATTGAAAACTGAAATACCCTTAAAATTGAAGTAAAACTTAGATAAAGTATATTTTTTCATTTGATTCATAATTTAGAAAAAATCGATAAGAATAATATTTTTTTTCTGGAATGTTTTATAGAGTTAATCTCGATAATTTATGATAAACAAGAGAGGAATGACTAGAAAAAACGTTTAGATGTATAATACTAAATTGAATTAAAATATAGCTGATGATAATAATTAACCAAAATATAATGTTCGAATGTTTTTAACATTGACCTACATCAATCAATAAGAAATTTGAAAATAATTCATATTGAATTAGAAAACATTGAACATATGAATATATTATATCTTATTTATCATCTATCTATTCGAGAATTCAACCTTATTTTTATATTTACAAATAGAAAATATTGATTGAGATATTTTTATTGAAATAAATAAATAATTCGGATTTATTTTTTTGTTTTTTTTTCGTCTAATAGTTAATACGATCATCAATCTGAAAGTAGATACTTTTATCATTGGGATATTTTAAAATAAAATTATTATTTACAAATGATTTATTTCAACATAGAATCTTAATAAATATCCATTATTTTTCGTCATTAATATTATTTTCAATAATAAATGTGGAAAAGTGAATCTTCTTTCCTCATAGAAAATCCTAATATTTTCAATATGATTTAAATTTTCAAAATGAATTTATCTTCATCAACAAATCTATTTAGAGTTTTTCTTTATTGATTAATCTTCTTTTTTCGAATATCTATAACTAATCGGTAAATAAATCACTTTTGACCAATTTATCATCTTAAACTTGTTTCCAATTGTCAGATTCTTCCAGAAATTTTCAAGTTAGATACGTTTATCTTAAAATAAATTATTTTTCATCAGTATCGTTTATCCTCGCACGTCTTTCTTAAGAACAACTTTCTGTAACAATGATTATTTTTTTTTTTGTTATATACCAAACAACTCAAACTATGTCATAAGAGAGCCTGATTTTTTCAATTTCTGTTTTTTTTTTGTTGAAATTAAAAACATAGATCTCTCTTTTTCTTCACCAATATTTGATTGATGAAAATATTTTAGAAAATTTAAAAAATATGTCAATAGAGATAGTGATAGAAATTTAGATTCAATAATCATAATCATCTTTACAAATTTGACTTTATTTTCAATTTCATCTGTAATGAGAAGACAGATATCGTACTCCTATTGAACTAGTTATTATTTATTTCTCACACGTAAATATTCCATCACTTCTAAGAAAAAAAAAACAAAAAGACAAGAATTAATTCATCTCGTTGTAGAAATGTAGAAAATGATAAAAATTAATATATCTATAAGACCGTATTCTTACTTATGAAATTGAGAAACGATAAAAGAAAAAAAAGAAAAAAGAAATAGTTGTGAAAATCATTTTTTGAATGTTTTCCTATATATCTTATTATTTATTGTCTGTTAAAGAAATTATTCCAGAAATAAAAGTATTTCGTTTTGTTTTCATAGTATACAATTGAATGATTTTGTTTTTATTCAAATCTATTATCATATTATTCTTCTTATTATATTCTATATGTCAAGCTGATATCGATATTGAGAAGTTTCATAAAAAAAAATAATTGAACAACTTATTTGTGTATTTATATTGTTAAGAATGATGCATTTACTGATATTTTATCTTTAAGAAAAAATCTAATAGGAAGATATTTCATTTGAAGTTAATGTCTCAATATGTGTTATTGAAATAAACAAACAGATATTTTAGAATTAGAATAAATTCTATTCATTTTTCACTATCTTTATCTCATTTATTGAAATCTATATCTGCCTTTTTACAAAATAAAATTCTATATAGATGACATATTGAATTTTTTTTTAAAAAAATCTCACTAATAAATTAATAAACTATATACTTTTTTTGTCATTAGACGTAAATCTATGCTTTTATACCGAACGTTTTTAATGTGAAAACATTTTCATTTTTAGATAGTAAAATTCTAATCGTTGAAATAATAAAATAAATCATTTATTTCTTTCATATATTTCAGCTTTCAACGAGCACATTTTTATAGATATACGTGAACAATTTCTACGGGTTCGTTGAAACTATACGTTAGGAAGTATGAATCAGTGTCTAAAAGGTAAAGAAGAATTTTTATGTAAATGATCTATAGCGCAATACGAAACCTTTCTCGATAAAATCATATCGTTCTTATTATTGATGCTCAAAAATTTTTTTTCTAGGCTCTTATATTTAAAATAACAAGTTACTTCTCTAAATCAGACATCATATATTATATTGTGATAGACGGTGTGGATGTGGGTGTGGGTGGGGCCCTCAGAACGTTCTGACAATGAACAAATTGATAATTATAGGTCTGATATCGCATTATCCTATAATGCACATCAACAAATATATATATATGTTTCTTTCTCATACACTTCTGTCTTGATAATGACTCTGAGAGTAGTCTAAACGTCGATAAAAGAAATAAAGTTTAAAGCTGTTGTTAAATCAATACTTTTCTTATTTAAATTATAACCCGTAAATGAAAAATTATATTAATCAAACATGAGCTCTTTTTGTTATATCTGCAGGCTAAAGCTGCTTGTTTACTATTTTGTTTAGATTTTTTAAAAATAAAATCCAAAGAAAATAATTAAATATTGCAAAAAAACTAATTGTGCTACGAAAGAATTTGGTGAATCGCATATTCAACATTAGAAACTTGATCACTTGAAGAAATTGCCGGGTAACCACGATAACCGGAAAAAAATCGCCGGTTAAACGGCGATATACTTCTCAGTTATACGATCGGTATACCGGCGGTTTTTTAGCGGTTCAATGGATGCGAGTATAATCATTAACAACCTTTGATACCGTACATAAGCGCCATCTAGGTTTTCAGATAACATTTCTGACTAGAATCTTTTCTCAATATAAATACTATTACTTTAATTCGTTCATTGAATTTTGATTATTTCTCCGTCGCTGTGGCTCTATATGTCTTCTGCTACTTCTGATTCGTCATTTGATGGAATAAACAATAAACAAGCATCATCATTTCGTGTTGTTGTGCGGATCAGTGTTTTGAATGTTGTAACTATTTGATTAAAACATGATTGACTAATATGAGATCTGAATGAGATCTATTCATAATTAATATGATAATCCTTACGTGCAACAAAATCAATGCTAATCAAAGAGATCAGGTTGTTAGTAAAAGAAGATAAAATATAACAATACCTTTTTCCTTTTCAATTAGACTACAATTAGAAATAACTTCTCCTTCTTGCTAAATAAGTATTATTTGGTTCTAGTACACTCTAAAAAAAAAAAGCGTTTTCTCAGAAACCGAAACCCCTTCGA